ATATTCACCAGAAAAAGGCCTAAAACATATGTTTCAWGAAGTGATAAGTGCAAAATATACAAGTTGTGATCTTGACTATTTCCCACAAAAGAAAATATGGAAAACTACAAGTGAGAGTGAATACCAGAAATCATATAAAAAATCAGGCCTTGTTCATCACCAGAGAATTTATATGGGAGAGAAGCCCTACAAATATAAAGAATGTTGCAAAGCTTTTAGTAAAAAAAACCGTCTTATTTACCACAGAGGAACCCACAATGGAGAGAAGCCATACAAATGTAAAGATTGTGCCAAAGCTTTTGGTCAAAAATCAAACCTTATTTGCCACAGAACAACTCACACTGGAGAGAAGCCATACAAATGTAAAGATTGTGGCAAAGCTTTTGGTGATAAATCACACCTTATTTACCACAGCAGAAAATACACTGGAGAGAAGCACGACAAATGTAAGGGATGTGGAAAAGCTTTTGGTCGAAAATCAAACCTTATTTGCCACATCAGAACTCACACTGGAGAGAAGCCCTACAAAGGTAAAGAGTGTGGCAAAACTTTTGGTCAAAATTCAGACCTTATTTACCACAGCAGAACTCACACTGGAGAAAAGTCCTACAAATGTACAGAATGTGGCAAAGCTTTTGGTAAAAAATCAGTCCTTATTTGCCACATCAGAACTCACACTAGGGAGAAGCCCAACAAATGTAAAGATTGTGGCAAAGCTTTTGGTCAAAAATCACACCTTATTCACCACAGCAGAACTCACACTGGAGAGAAGCCCTACAAATGTACAGAATGTGGCAAAGCTTTCAGTAAAAAATCATACCTTACTTGCCACAGCAGAACTCACACTGGAGAGAAGCCTTACAAATGTAAAGATTGTGGCAAAGCTTTTGGTCAAAAATCAGTCCTTATTTGCCACATCAGAACTCACACTGGGGAGAAGCCCAACAAATGTAAAGATTGTGGCAAAGCTTTTGGTCAAAAATCAAACCTTATTTGCCACAGCAGAACTCACACTGGAGAGAAGCCCTACAAATGTAAAGAATGTGGCAAAGCTTTCGGTAAAAAATCACACCTTACTTGCCACATCAGAACTCACACTGGAGAGAAGCCTTACAAATGTACAGAATGTGGCAAAGCTTTCAGTAAAAAATCACACCTTACTTGCCACATCAGAACTCACACTGGAGAGAAGCCTTACAAATGTAAAGAATGTGGCAAAGCTTTCAGTTTAAAATCGCTCCTAATTTGCCACATCAGAACTCACACTGGAGAGAAGCCGTACAAATGTAAAGATTGTGGCAAAGCTTTTGGTCAAAAATCAAACCTTATTTGCCACAGAAGAACTCACACTGGAGAAAAGCCCTACAAATGTAAAGATTGTGGCAAAGCTTTTGGTCAAAAGTCACAACTTATTTACCACAGCAGAACTCACACTGGAGAGAAGCCCTACAAATGTAAAGAATGTGGAAAAGCTTTTGGTCAAAAATCAAACCTTATTTGCCACAGCAGAACTCACACTGGAGAGAAGCCCTACAAATGTACAGAATGTGGAAAAGCTTTTGGTAAAAAATCAGACCTTATTAAGCACAGCAGAATTCACAGTGGAGAGAAGCCCTACAAATGTACAGAATGTGGCAAAGCGTTTGGTCAAACATCACACCTTATTAAACACAGAAAAACTCACAGTGGAGTGAAGCCCTACAAATGTACAGAATGTGGCAAAGCTTTTGGTGACAAATCAAACCTTACTCGCCACAGCAGAATCCACTGTGGATAGAAGCCCTACCACTGTAAAGAATGTGGCAAAGCATTCAGTCAAAAATCACACCTTATTTGCCACAACAGAACTTACACTGGAGAGAAGCCTCACAAATGCAAAGTATGTGACAAAGTTTTTACTCAAATTTTACACCTTATTTGCCATAGCAGCATCTCCACTGGAGAGAAGCCTCACAAATATAAGGAATGTGGCAAAGCTTTTAGCAATAAAACAGGCCTTATTCACCACAACAGCACTCACACTGGTGAATAGCCCTAGAAATGTGAATAATGTGGAAAAGCATTTAATAAAAAATAAAACTTTATTCACCACAGCAGAAAACATCCTGGTGAATGTGAAATGTAAATAAAGTGATAATATCTTTAAAGAAAGACTAAACCTTAGGGCTAGAGTTGTGGTTCAGTGGTAGAGTGCTAGCCTCGCATGTGTGAGATCCTGAGTTTGATATTCAGCATCACAGAAATACAAATAAGTGAAATAAAGGCATTGTGTCCAACTGCAACTAAAAAATAAACATTAAGAAAAGAAAGACTAAACCTTATTAACAACAGAATTTATACAGAAAAGAACCCCTACAAATTGAAACAATGCAGCAAAAAGCTTTTAACAAGAAATCAATTCTTTTCACCACTAGACTACTTATTCTGGAAAGAAGATATATAAATGTAGAGAATGTAGAAACATTTTAAATTATATATCATATATTACTAGAAATCAGAGAAAACACACTGGACAGAAGCTCTACAAATGAGACCATTGTACCATTACTCTTAGAAACGAACAACACTTAAATCCTCACCACAATAATCACAGCATAGAGAAAGTTTTGAAATGTGAAAATTGACAATGTGACAATGCCTCCAAAATTTATTCACCGATACTCAGCACCGGTGGATACATACTGGTTAGAGAAAATACAAATGGAAAATAAATTGTAGCCACATGTTTCTTAAACACTGCTTATTTTTGGAGAATTCATTGTGCCCAGAAACCCTAAAAAGTTAAATAATATTTCCAAAATGTATTTAAATTTTAAATTCATTGAACATCTGAAAACTCATACTAGGAGTGAATATTGAACAGATTTTGTCCAAAATGTATGCCTTATATAACAATGAAACATTTATAATAAATGTGAGAGTATAGTAAAATTATTATGTATATATTACACCTTGATGTATATGAGGATCAGTAAAATACAGAATTTATTTAAGTTTAGAAAACAAGTAGTTTTCTTTAACTTTTGTTTAAATTTATTAAGCATTATTAAGTTATTTTGAATAAATATCTGTCATAAATAGAATACATGCATAGTGAAGAAACCTCATCTTTGAAAGAATATAATTGTTTTTCCAAATCAAAAATTACTATTTTCACTTTTGAATACTGAGAAAAGAATTATTTGAAATCTATTTTTGATATTTAATGCTGAAGTGTAGTATTATAAACTTTAATATATTTTTTTTGTATTTCAGTGTAAGTTTAGGTATTTTTATACACTGAGCCACATTTCTTAGCCCTCTCTCCACTTTTTCAAATTTGGGACTGCCATGCTAACTTGCTTGAAACCACACTAAGTTGCTGGGGCTGAATTTAAACTTCTGAAACTACTCAGCTTCCCAATTTGCTTGGATTGCAAGCATGGACCATCACACCAGGTTTATAGTGCATTTTTTTTTACCTATATTTACCTTATGTATGCAATATGTCTTTATAACTGAATATTTGTTTATATGTTAACACTCATGCATTGCATCCTGTTAAATGACAGACATCATAGTGTTCCACTTGACTAAATGTTCTATGTAACAGTAAAACATACTGTTGAGTAAATAATACTCTAACATCTGTTAATACTTTTACACATTTTAATCAAACTTAATGTGGAATACAATTTGCATAAGTGAGATCATAATTTTTTTCTGTTTGTATTTATGGTGAAATTAAGAGTTATATGAAGGATATAGATATAGAAAAATAAGCCCCAGATTTTCATATCTTGATTTATAAATTTTAGAATTTTCACTTTTTAACATTTTAACATTTCCTAGTGATCTTAATAGACTGAATTTCCACAAACTTAAAGGTAGCTCTTACAGGAGAGAAGAGCTTTATCTTTCTTGTGTGCATAATGGCCTTCTAGACTTCATCTTCATTGGAGACATTTCATTTTTCTGTGAATGAGGTCAATGATCAGTGTTTTCATGTACATTAGTAAATTCTGACATCCTTGTTATTCTATAGATAGAGTTATTTCAGGGCAGGTATTAGAGAAATGAATGTGGAGTCAACGTTGATTGAGGCCTTATACTTATGACAAAATAATCAATGAGCTATGTTTTATAGTCTCATTTTCTGACAACCATTTAGTAAAAAGTAAACTGAGAAGTTTGTATGTAAAGATTAAGTTTCTTATCATAAAATGTTGCCTTTTCAGCTACAATAGGGTAAAAGCTTCTTATACACACAATCCATACAAAAATCATATTGAATATTATTCATAATTTTATTAACATTACATATAATTCATGAAGAACTGAACAGCAACATTTGCCTAAGAACAAGATCTGGGGACATTGTACACTCCAATATAGACATTTATATCTATATTTATATCAATTTAATTATACATGAAACTACACTAAATRAGAAGAAAAATAAATGGGATCAATATACAACAATGCAGAAATAAAAACTTGTAAAGACTTAAGCAAGAGACTTAATAGTGGATGACATGTGGTTTCCATATGCTAGAGGAAAAATGGACATATAATCAGTTAAAGGTAATTGAAGAAATATAAGTTACTCACTTTGTGCTACAACAGCATTTGAAACAAAAAGAGTCACAAAGTAAGCAAAGATTATTCACTTCCATTTGTATGCTTTGTAATATTTTCCCAAGTTTTCTGCATATTTTATTGCAGTCAAATTTCGAAACAATCCAGAAAGTTAAAAAAGACAAGTAATGCTCCTCTGGTTTTAAAAGCAATAAAAGGAATAGAGAGAGAATCATTGAGCTAGAAAAATTTACTAGTTAGAGTTAAAAAAAAAAAACAAAAAAACGAGATTACCAGAATCTAAGTATAATATATTTCAGCCATCCCTGGCTGCACAGGGCATTTTTGCTTAACAAAGAATTTGTTCATGTATGTACGCTTAAAGAACATTGCTGATTTAATCAGTCTTTTCCATTAATAACAATGATGTACCTTTCAATAGTTTCCAGCCATAAAAATACACAATTTCAGAAATATTCTGGTTCATCCTCCATATATTCTTCCACAATATTCACCAGGACAAGATAATATAAACCTTTTGGCAGTCCCATGAAGGCATTTACTTCTATTAATTTTAAGGCCAAACATATACTGCATAGAAAAGTATGATACATGGAGCAACATAATATTATTTAGTAAAAATATATTTTTTTCATGAAAAATATATACCAAACTCCTTTGTCTTGGTATTACATTAAAAAAATATGAGGTAACTATACTGTGTATTATGACCTTAGGCTATGAGCCTTAAAATTACCTTATAATACAAAAGAATATCCATGTTTATCTTTAAATATAATTTTTATATTTCAAATATTCAAATTCCACAGCAATCAATGATACAAAAACATGAGAAAAACAATTGCAGTTTGCTGTCTCATCATGGTATTTCAATACCTGCTGTAGATTGCCTGTGACTTCCACTTTTAATTTAAAAACATAATAATTTTTCCATACAATATGGGTGAAGAGGAGGAGAAAATCTCCTGCATTGTTTTCCTGGGCAAGCCATCATGGTTGAAACAACTCAACCCCAAATCAAAATATGTTTACATTCTAATTATATCAGTTCTTAACTCATCTAGCATAAAACAAATCCACTTTCTTCTGGTTGAATATGTTGAGCTCAATGATATGGAACCTTGGAGCTAAAAGATGTATGACTAATAATAGGTCTTGTTTTGCATAAGGCAAATTGCACTTTTTGTATTTGATTTTTCTGCCTGTGAAGATCTACATTTCTCTTCCTACAATGGTATTATGATTGATGATGACTTGTGTGATTACAGGAGTCTTAAAATGCAGCTACATGTATTTGAGTCCTTTCACTGGTAAAAAATACTATAATTTGTACTCTAATATGAGACTCAAAATGGTGCTAGACAAACCTATTTTTTTAGATCTTCCTCTTTATTCATGGTTTTTTAATGGTTTTGACCTAGTCAATTCAGACCATTTCTGATTAATCGGTGTCATCAAGATGTAAATTCCCTCTATAATCATTAGCAATGAGACAATTCTTCCCATTAAAAATAAAAATATTCTCATAGAGTCTTTGCTATATTCTAAGGAACCACTCTGGCTTTTGTTTACTAAACAAAATAAATTCCACATATTTGAGTCCCAAAGTAAACAGCAATACATTAACCTACAAACCATGAGGAATATAAGAAATACAAGATATCACCTTTGAAATATAAAAACAAATAAGAATCAGAAATGCTAAGCCATTACCATCTAAACTATACCAGAGCTTTTAAAATGTAATCTTAGATGTTCTACTCACTCTAAGATACCTTAGACTCAGAGATATTTAATCACTCACTAAAAGTCACTCAGTGAATGCATAACAGTTCTTATTCTAAAGCTTTTACAGAATTTTTTGGTAATACATTGCAAAGTCTCATCTTTCTTCTTTAGAAATAAGACACAGAGGTTGTTTTWGTCTGTTTCATAATGTTATAGAAAAATACCAGAAAGATGCTTTTGAGAGCCACAGCTGAAGGGACCCCAGCAAACTTCCAGCTGGCAGCTGATGATTGGCTCACAGTGGCCCCAGCAAACTTCCAGCTGCCAGCTAATGATTGGCTCACAGTGGCCCCAGCAAACTTCTAGGTGTCAACTGATTCCCTCCTCTGTGTTGATGCTCATTGGGCTGTTTCCCCACCCTTTCAGACCACGGAGCTGCTCATTGGGGGACTTTTTTTGGCTTCACCCTTG